CTGTTTTTATTTTTATTGTTTTTTCGCCCTGTCGCTTCATATTTTTTCTGAAAAAATCCGAGAACCAACAAATTAAATTGGTGTGGCCTAATTACTGCATTTAAAAGATTTCTGAAGGGTCACTTTGCAATAACCCAGATGAATATCGCATGTGCCGATTTGGATGGATATGATTTAACTTGCTCTGCTGCATTGGTTTTTAATTGAGCTATTTTTACGCGATTTTTTAAAATATTTTTTAGTAGAAGACCAGTAGTCGAAGTATTTTAGTACTAGGGACGTTTTAAAGTTTAGATTAGCCGAAGAACTACCTTTTTAAAGATTCTAGAGCCCTTTTTGTGTCGCGCCACGAGACAGCGCCTCGGGCGCCATATTGGATTTCCGCTCAAGGCCCTTTTCCACTGGCAGGAAAGCCCAGAAGGATACTCATCGAAAATCCAAGGGGGAGATAGCTACAGTCTGGTCGTGAGAGCAAAGGGGGTAATCCCTGAAGAAGGTACCTAGGCAGCAAGTGGATAGAAACAGCCTCGGTGGACGCACCGGCGGGGAGCGATACAGAGCCCGATTCAAAACACTGAAGCACCGCCACGAGGGAGAAACAGTGCAAAAATGGAGAAAAAAACAGCAAAGAAGGGGGGAGGAGCAAGAAACCCTAGCGAAAGACTTGAAAAGCTTGGCAGCAAATCAAACAATACTGGGGAGGGAGCAAAGCAACAAGGTGGTAGTAACGACAGCAAACCCGCCCAGCAGATGCACAAGGACCAAGAAGACCCATGGGTATGTAAACTCTGTGACACTGCTTTTTTCGATGCAGACAGTAAGGTGTTACAATGTGAGAGATGCGAATTGTACTTCTGTGCAAAATGTATTGGCATGAACAACCACCAGTATAGTGCAGCAAGCAGAGATGACATGATCTGGGCATGTGAGGGTTGTATGCCAAACCTCCGGTCCATGATAAAATTGTTTGGCCCAAGTAGTGCAACCATTGTTAGCAAACT